TTGGTGCTCCGAACCATGAATCATTCAAGCAGTTATGTATATATAACTTTGGGCCCAGAATCAGAATTATGAAGAATTATTTAAAAATAGGAAATGCTGTAGAACACAGAAATGCAAAATGGGATCGATGTACACTGATGATGCGCAAGTAATGCTGACTTCCGAGTAGCGACTAAAGTTCGAATTATCAGTCTATGACAGAACTACTTCGTTCTTGCAATTGCGTTCGCACATTATAACCTGATGTAGGTAAGACGAGATATCCAGTATTACATGCTTGGTATTCAAGTTACATTCCAGTGACTTGTCAGGGATGGTAGGAGGACAGATTTTTCACTGCTTGACTTGTCGTTGCAGATTCAGTCAGGCATTCTATGAAGGTTCAGATGGAGTTCGTTGACAGATGCATTATACCCATAAACCTATCCCTGACAGACTGCAAAGAATCAAATACACCTGCTGTCAGCATATTTATAATACTTACCGCAGTCGCTTGTGAAAATACGAACACCAGAGAAGATAGGATATAGCCATTCACAATTCATTGTCAAGTACCAGGATTTCTTTCAGTCATTTCTGACAACTGACTGATAACATGTTGAGATTGCGTAATTGTTTATTACGGGAAATTGTGACCTGTTTAAGTGGTCCCTGTAGTCCTTGGGAAGCGGGGTGGCGCAATGAAACCTTGTAAACCAATTTGATGAAGTCATGCTTGCTACAGTTTAAAAGATTAGTTTCTGTCACAGACATATTTCATCACAAAATATGATTAAGGTCAGTGTCCTCTGCGCAGTTGTAAGCATTTCTCAACGGAGTTCCGCTATCGTCCACTGACTGTGAAACCGTTTAATGCCTCCGCTGCAAGCGGCCACGGTTCGTTAGCGCAGCGTTCCTAATGACAAACAAGCGCAACTGAGGATGATATTTTGTGTTACTACAGACTTAAACAGTCAGAGGTTCGTGAGTTTATCAGGTGATTGTTGAACAGCAAGCCGTTTGCTGGTTAAATGTTGCGAATGCGAGGCGTCTGGCGTTAATAGCGTTGAACTACAAACATTCGACTTGTTATTAAATTCTGAAACGCACTCAGCATCTACCAACAACAAACATTAAAGGCAATGTACAGCAAACAAATTTAAAAAAAACGACATTCAAAACAGGAAAACAAGCAGCGAAAAACTGATCAATATGTATGGAAGTTCGCTCAAAGATATTTGAAGTTATTATGCTTTGTGTAGTTTTTTCTCTGAACTCACCAACAGTGGCAGAAACAACAAAGGGACGATGGCAATGTGTAGAAAAAAGTACAGATTTCTAAAAAAAGTCTGATATACGAAAGAAGCAAATCATAAAGTTCTCATCACGCACTACAAAACTACATTAGGCTAACGATCACAAGCGAGTAACCGTAAAATTTTCTCACGGTAAGCTGAAATAGCCAAAACTTTCTCAAAGCTTAAGGAAAACATCTGAAAGTAAATACATGGATGATTTAGCGCCTTCGTCAGTCAGGATGATGCAGCTGTAGAACGAAAGATGCCGGTTCCGAAAGCTGCAAGTCGCAAACTTTGACCTAGTTGCAATAGAGCCCTTCGTATCAGTGTCTATCAGACAGCCTTTAGGTTAATACCAAATGTCATTGGATGCATAGAACTTTCGAAAAGTGAAGAAGAACCGCAGGACTCCCACGAATTGTCACTTATCAGAGGCTGCATTTGACTAGTGGTCGCCCTGTTTTAAATGCACTGATCTCGACCCCTGCATCTAATTTAAGATCAGAAAACGTTTTCTTGAGGACGTTTAGGAACTAAATTCTACCTGAAAGACGCAAAGGTAAAACCTTCATTTTGGGAAACTAAGTTTAATAGTCAGCTAAGCCTGCAAATCATAAACGGCCGCCTTGAAACATAGGAAAAGCTACCAATTATTTTATTCATTTTTTAGCGACATGTCACTGACTCATTCACCGTTGAAAACCAACGCTATTCAGAACTGAGCAACGAGTGGTAGGTACTTGCCTAAGCATCTGAATGGACGGCTCCCAGTACAGCAGGACGAAAAACACTGTAGTATAGGAAATCGCGATTCGCACCAACAGGAAGGTAACTACATCATATAACTGCTTTAGACGTGGCTTCTTGAGGAAAAACGGACGGATGTATCTTCGGCCCTAAAAAAAAGAATTGAATAAGATGTCCATCGCAGTTCTACTGCAAAAATGACAGAGTATGGCCTTCAAACAAGAAAAAAAACTGACACGATTTGGCAATACAAATAATACTTGATCCAAACTTGTCGACATACTAAGAAATTTAAACGCCACGTGACTTGTTTGGCATGACAAATGTCACAAAGACTTATGCCTATGAAATCTCCGTGTTTTCTTTATTATATTTGCCCCTGCCTGCAATCATTTATAATGTTTGTTACGATTACAAGTCCAGCCCGATGTCAAATTAGGTTCGCGATTAGTCAATGGGCACAGTTTAATGCAGTCGCTGACAATTCGTCCTTGTAGATTACAGCTGTGGGTCTGACGCACTAAGTACTATGGTACTGATGAGTCAC